TACCGTGGACGTGATGCTGCCGTTCAAGGTCTTTAAGATGGACTAGTCGCCGTTTGTTGTGTAGAGATCGACACGTAGGGTTGGGAGGGACGTTGGCGGGACAGAAGGATGGGTTGTGCCTTCTGGACAGGAGACGAGCGGGAGATGCCAAAAATAGAAGTCTGATTTGATTTTTTTTTAAAAATCTTTTTCTAATGAACGTGTGAAATCGCTGGAGGTCCACTCCTGGTTGTGATGTTTTGGGGTTTGGGCTAGTAAGGAAAAAAAAAGGAGGCTTGTGGAATTCCCCCAGATTTAATTTATTACATGTTGATGTTTTGTTTTTTAATTTAAGATTACGGCTCAGCGCTTCCCCTTTATTTCTCTCTGATGATTCTGGAGTGAACCCTGCTGGCCCTCTCCGACGGATGGGGTGGGATGTCCGCGGTGCCAACGCTTGGGGGCAAATCTGGTGACTGAGAGATCAAATTTATGCCACCCAGTACTTTTTGTTAAAAGAGGGGGGGGAGATTACATTTTGGACAACGAATCCAGTAATCTTGCAGCCAACACTAGGACATGGGAGCAGGGCCTTCTCTGCATGGCCCCTGGGAACCCTGTTCTTGCCAGCCAGAGTTAGCCTTCCCAAAAATAGTTTGACAGCTTTCATGGCTTTGCAAAGCCCAAAATGTGCACACAGGATTTCGCCAATTATGAAACTCTGCTTCCATTTAGCTTGTTAGTTCTTTGGCCTATGAGCTGGGGATTCTGGGGGTTGTAGTCCAAAACCAGTAAAGCTTGCGAGCTGGAGATGCAATGGACTCCAGATCGCACAGGGCCTTCTCCGCGTTTCAGAGAAGGCCCCGGAGGACTTTTGTCTTAAATTCACAGAAGGGAAGGATAAAAACGCGTCCGTGTGGTTTTATTTGTAACGAGTGCTGAGAGATTTCAAGAGGCCGCGCCCGGCGCCGGACCTCCAGCCTTTTCCCGCCTGCCGCAGAGTAATGTGGAAGTTGCCTTTGGCGCGCAGGGTCACCCTGCTGCTCCCAGATGGTGGCGAGCTGCTGGTCGGTGGCCGCCTTGCCTGGCCATCCATCCATCGCAGTGAAATCCAGGTCAGGACAGAGCTGCGGAATCGGGGATGCGGTTGCTATGGGAACGCAGCACATCCTCCCTCTCTGGCGGAGGGGGGGGCGGATGGAAAGAGAGCCGAAGAAATGCCAAACAGGCTGGTCCTGCCTTTCCGGTCCTGGGGGAGGGGGGAGATGTCGTTCCTATCTAACTGGACAGTTTACTCCCTGCTCCCTAAAGACCAATTAATGGGTATATTCTTTTCTGTGGGATTAACGAGGGCGGAGGCCGTTGCATGTCATAGGAGGAGAGCTGCTGCATTTACCCAATTATGCCCAGAAGCTGAATTTCCTCCATGCTTGAAGGGAGCTGGCCAAGGTCCTGAGCCTCCTGTTAGCGACGGGGTTCTGGGTCTTGAACAGCTCCTGTAAAATGCAGAATAAAACCCGGAGCGGATTATCCGCTCTTTCCCCCCCTTCCCTGACTTTGCCTGCCTCTATGGGAAGGGAGAAAAAAATGGGGGGATCTTAATGACGAGTGCCACCTTCTCCTGGGTCAGCTAGAGTGTTATGTAAAGCCCAAGTGTGCAAGGGGGGGGGGAACGCAAGGCTAGGGGCCGGCATCTCACTCTTCCTTTTGCTCCTTTTCTGGTTATCCTTTCTTTTACCACATCGTTTTGTACCTGGAGAATGCGAACGGCCGTGCATGAGCGCCTGGTGCACCCTCTTTGAGATGCATGCGTGGGGAGGTGTGTGGGTCTTTTCTGCTCTGTTTTTTTCTGAATATGGGATCAGGGAGACGGTTACGTCTTACAAGCTCCAGGCCCTTCCTTTTACTTTGGGCCCGAAATATGTTCACAGGCCCATTTGGGGGTGGGGGACAGTTCTCCCACCAGGGTAGAAACTGAGGGAGAAATCTCAGCTCGCTTTTTCTGCATTGGGCGTGCCACGACACAGTCATGCCGAGCGACATTTAATTAATTGACTCCTTAAACTTTGCTTGGGGTGGTGAGGAGACTGCCTGACCCAACTCCGTTTGAGTTCCTATTCAAACCTGGCCCTGTTTTCCCCTGGGCCTTGTTTCCATCCATCGTATCTCATTTCGGGGAGAATAATTCTTCCATATATTGCTGTATTGGATAGTAAGGACCCCTTTCCGTCTGCAGAATTACTGTTCTGAGAAAAGAGAGATGCAGGAAACAGGGTGGAAATGGGGCACTAGACTCCTTTGAGTACTGTTTAAATCTTACTCTGGCACTTGTGCATGTTTGTGTGTGTGTGTAAGGGCAATATGGTGTCACTCTCCGTTCAGAAAAAAATTGTATATGTGCTATCAGCACATATTTTGGGGACTTTTTGCTGATGTGTCCTGGGCTAGGTTAGAAAAGTTCCTTTTTTTTGTTTTGGATTCCAGTTTCCAGAATCCCCCAACTGCTGTCAAGATTATAGTGTTTGCACTCCACAAGGAACTTCTCTTAACTCTGCTCCTGGGTGTGAGAGGCAGAGTGTGCATGGGTGTGGTGGTGAGGGCTGAAAGCTGGCAATTGGGGGTACTTGGGGTGGATAGTGGCAGGTGTTTGTGCTCCATTGGGGTGCGATGGATCCAGGGTGAGAGAGGGGCCAGCGTCAATGCAGCGCCCTTATGCCATCACAGAGGCAGTGGGGGGGCAATCATGGGGCCAGTACGTGGGGAGGCAGACTTACTGGGAGTACAAGGGTGGATCACGCCGTTATGCCATCACAGAAGCAGTGGTGGTAGGGCAATCATGGGACCAGTACATGGGGAAGCAGACTTACTGGGAGTACAAGGGTGGATCGGCAACTTCCCACACAGCTGTTTCACTGGGGGAATCCTGGGAGGTGTTTCGACTACAGCTCCCATCAGCATGTATGTCCTCAAGGCTGTGATTCTGGGACCAAAGGTCCAAACAAGGAAATTACAGTGGTTCCGGGAAAATCACTGTTAACCAAATCGTCGTCATGCGAAAAGCCTTTCCCCATTTGAATGCATTTAATGCGTTCCAATGGGGAAATTACCTCGTCGTCCAGCGAAGATTATCCACAGGGGAAGCCATTTTCCGAGCGCTGATCAGCTGTTAAAATGGCTGCCCTGCGAAGCATGGGTCCGTAAAACACAGGGCAGCCATTTTAGGAACCCAACGATCAGCTGTAAAGATAGTCGTCTTGCGAATAAATGGTCTGCGAAGCACGGACCAAATCGTCGTCAGGCGGAATTCCCCCATAAGAATGACTGTTTTGTGAATCGCTATAGTGATAGCAAACAGTCATCGTCATGCGGTTTTGTCGTACAGCGGGGTCGTCATCTAGCGAGCTACCACTGTATCCCAGCTGTGGACCTGATGAAGGTGGTTGGCATTTAGCAGCACCTCTGTGACAGGATGAGCCATGCTTTTTCTTTGTCACCATTTGGACTCAGACCAAATGATGCCCTCTTGAACACCTTAGCATGTCTGGCTGTGCAACCCGCTCGGAGCTTTTTCATTTCTTGTGCGAGCAATCAGAATGTGTATTTGTCTTAAGAGATGATATATATGTGGAGCTAAAACATTGTCTTGAACTCCAGCTGGCCAGTCACAAATTAAAGCAGACTAAACTGGTGAGCTGTGGGAAAAAGCTTATGGTGGGACAGTCAGACAGCTTTTAACACATAAGGGCTTCCAGCATCCAACAATGTCTTCTCTGTAACCTCTAGTCCAGCCCTTTGTTTGTGTGAAGGCCTTTTGACCACCTGGGTGTGGTTCACTTGACCAGCAGGAAGTAAACCAGAGGTTCTTTCCAGTTTTCCCCCCTCTTTTTTAATGGGTCATTTTTAAAAAAAAAAAAATCTAAGATCTGAATAATGTCCATTCCACATAAACAAGGGGTTCTCTTGGTTGACACACACAGCTCTTCCTTCCATTCCTCCAACCAGCTGTTGTCCACTGCCCTCTTTATTTATTCCCCAAGGATAATTTTGCTGATGCAAGAGTGATTTGTTGGATAAATGCATGTTTGATATGTTTCTTTTAATAATAGTTTTTTAAAAAAAAAAACAAACAAACAAACACTGAAAAAAAATCCTGCATAATTATGGAAGAATTCCACATTTTCTCTCGTACGGAACAAAACTTAGGACTGTATTTCCGCACATTGCCATTGTCTGAGTCTGCTGGTTTTCCATGGCACAATTCTGAAGATGGAGTCTATATATATATA